CAACTTCACTTGACCGAATCTATATAGCCGCCTGTTCTCTGTTGTTCGCGTGCTCATTGCTGTCCAAAGTTTGTTGCGTAGAGTATCTATACTGTTGAACACGAAATAAAGCTCACTTACCCATTTTGATAAAAGAGGAGTTGAATTTACTTTGCCCGGTAACAAGGATCAAGAAATCTCCTCTCAAGGAATTGTCTAAATTAGTTAAGAACATAACTTGCGACGGTAAGTTGTACAATTGGAGAATCCAGAGACGTCCGGAATTTAAAGATTGTAAAAGATCTAAAATAAACTAATTTACGACAACAATGTACAGTATTGTATCAAGTAACTTCTAATAAACAATCTTAAAATAAAAGATAACAATTTAACTTTAACCTTAAAATATAATTTGATTCTATGAATATATTTATAAAATTCAATACTTTCAAGATTGCATGTTCTGCTCATTTTTGTGAGCTTTTGGAATTTCCTCAGATACAGCAGTAGAACCTGTGGGAATATTTGGTTTGGAAATTTCAACAGTATGCATATATTTGAAATTCTTTTGCTGGCCTTCCTTGTTCCTTAGAATAAATTAATGTTTTTTATTCAATCTTGTACATTTATTTTTGGAAGAAAACACATGTATTCCAGTAGGAATATTAGGATTTGATTTATTTTTCTCCAGGTTTGTGTTCTTGTGCTGATCCTTTTTGCTTTTTTCCAGCAGATTTTTTCCAAGAACAGGAGAGAATGCTGCTGAGGGACAGAGGCTTCCTGCACAATTTTTTCTTCTGTAGGAAATTTTCTAAGCAAGAGAGGCTTGGGGGAAAATAGAAAAAATATGGCACTTGCACAATTTGGGTTTCTGTTCTTGTTTCTTTGTGTATGCATGCTGAGTCAAGGAAGAGAAAAAAGTAGGAAAGGAATGTGTGCCCATTTTTGCAAGCTCCTATATAAGAGCTTTGAGGTTTGTCATTACATTTTTGAGCTTGCACAAGAATGGGCATAAGGAGACCCATATTTTCAGAAATGTTACACAAAATAATTTGCTGCTATTGAAATAATTCAAGTCTGCGCGCTGTTTTTCCTTTGATCAATAAGTCATTCCTCATTACATCAACAACAAAGCCAAAATGAAAAAAAAGTGAATAGAAAGACTACAAAGGCAAACAGTTCTTCAATTTCAGTAATTTTTTTTCTTTCATCAAGACCCCTTCCCCAGCACTCAAAATTGAGGTACTTGAATTATATTGCAACGAATTCACTGGTTCTTCTTTGAGAGATTCTGGTGGCAGCAGCAATTGTTCTTATTCAAAACTTGATTCAAAACTTCGTTATTTCCTTTGTCATATTCAGTGTCCTAACTTTTGTTGGTCAAAACACCTGCAAGCTTAATTTGGTTAGGTGATCTTGGACAACGCAGGAACCTGCAAGTAAAAAAGCTAACTATTTTTGTTTGTTTATTTTCTTATGCTTTTTACACTCACTTGAGTGTATTAGCAACAGGCATAACAATATATTCAATTGATTGCCATTGTTGTCACTGTTCCCAACAAACCCACAGCCAAAATTACCATCATAACTTTAGCCAATAGATTGGAAAAAATTGGTTGACATTTTGGGTGATTCCTTTATTTTCTTTGTTACTACAATATTACAATATTAATGGGTTCAAAATTCCAAACTTCTCAACTTTAACCCTGCTGCAGCAAAGGTTTCTCTCCCATTGCAAGGCAAGGTCAACATTTTTCTGTATGCTGCCACATTTTCATTTTTCTGGAGATCCCAAAAGGCCAAAACCAAAGCCAAGTTGGGTGAGGCAAAGTTGAACAAAATCCTGGGGAATGGGGTCTCTTGAATTTTCAAATGTTGAACTTTTTACTGATTGACTTCCAAACTAGTATTGCCTTTAGAGCCCAAAATGAAAGCAACAAAACCGTTTTAAAATTTTGTCTGCTCCTGCAATACTTTTGAAATTATCTTGATAAGATCTTGAATCTCGCCAATACAATAGGAAACATTCCAAAATTTTGTATTACCTCCACTTTTTTCCTCCAGCTATTCTTTTTCATGCCTTCTTAAATCTTATTCAGTGCTACATCTTATGGCTTTAATCTCTTTTTGTTTCACAAATTCCTTTTCAAAGAAGAGAGTGCAATATCTGAATGAAAGTAGCGAGTTTTTCTGCAGTAAAGATGACAGAGGATTGGGAAGATCAAGATGGACTTGTTCCAAAGGTATCAAGACTCTTCCAGGATGGAAAAGAATTCCTTAGCCCAGAGAATACTTTTTTTTTCTTTTTCAGCAAACATTTTCTGTGCATGGGTAATCAATGCTGGGATTTTCTCTGACTTCCTCATCCACTCCCTGGACTCAATTTTTTAAAAATCAGCCCCAGGAGTTACTTAACTTCATAAAAAGTCCAAGTTTGCTGCCCAAGGGTTAAACTCAGAAATCTTGAAAAACATTTTCAAGATTTCGAATGACTGGTGCACTGCCACAGATCTTCCTCTCTTGAAAGTTTAAAATGGATTGAAACATTTTGGCAAGAGAAACCAATGTAAAAGTAGGAGAAACCATGCAAAACTTTCTCACCTCTGTGATGCACAGTTGCAGAGGAAAGAGAAAACTAGAGAAAATTTTCGTACTTTTGTGGATACTGTGCTTCAACTGCTTTTGCACATGAAAAATCATGCTTTTTTTTCTTTGTGTTGGGTGATTTTTGTCAATGTGCTAATTTCCCTTGCTGAAATTTTCTTCCTTTCCTGAACCCTATCTGGGTTCTGTTGGTTGCTCCAGGCCATTTACCTATTTTTTTTCAAATGCAGGATGGTGGTGCACCTTTACAGCCTTGTTCCTCTTTTTCTGGTATATGCAGCAGTCTTGGAAACATTGCTGCTAATAACATTGGCCTCTCAGACCAGTAATGTTGTAACCGTTCCACTAACCCTTGAGATAGCTGCCATAAACAATATAAGGGCCCCCATCCCATCTCCAAATCAATGGTGAAAGAACCCTTTGAGAAGGAGCAGTCTGTCAGGTATTGTACCCAAAGCATCATATGACAAAATATTAAAGCAAGTGTATATAGAAATATTAAAGCAAGTGTATATAGAAATATTAAAGCAAGTGTATATAGAAATATTAAAGCAAGTGTATATAGAAATATTAAAGCAAGTGTATATAGAAATATTAAAGCAAGTATATATAGATTTCTAAGAATCCAATTCATTTCACCTAGGTAAAAAGGTAATTACTGCACCTTGTTTGAGGCATGCCTGCAAAACAGGAAGCAAACATAAAATTAATTACCAAATGAAATGTAAGGTTACCTCTTTGAGAGTTTGTGTCAAGGCAAATTAGGTTTTGCCCTGTGAAACTAATTGTGAGATAAAAATGTTCACAAAATATTTTTTCCATAAAAAAAGTTTTGCTTGAAAGGCTTCATGGCAAGTACAATATTTAAAAAGCTTCAAGAACTTCAAGTTAAGAACCAATGCAATGGAGCAGCTCAGACCTTTGTTGCTCCACAGACCAGGGGTTGTGGTAAAGGCGGGTTCATTACTTCCTTTCCTATTAAAATATCATTGATATTTGTGGCTTTCATCACTCAGTTAAAGCTCTGTGACCAAGGATTCATTCTCACGCACATAATTAATACTTCTGGATAGAATGACTCAGATGAGGGTCCATGTGATGAAATAGCGCAGAATCAAAAAGGTCCGTTGAATGGCGATCTGATTGGAAGTATGTGCTTTGGCTAACACAGTATTGGTTTGATTAAATTAGATTAAATTGCATACACTGTATTTCACAACCTCATAAAAACATCGAGATAACCAAACGCACATCAGTTATGTATTTGTTGAGCAGCTTATATCCTAAAATTATTGATTGAAAGGAATGAGACGTACTCCTAACATGCAATCTCTTACAGACTTTCATGAAAGTCAATGAAATTGCGGCACATGACGGAAATTCACATGCTTCAGCATTTAAAAAAATAATTATAGTAGATTAAAAAATTAATCTAAAAAACCACGTTTTCAAAAAGCAAAAAATAACCTTAAATGTGGTGAGCATCTATTTCATTTGTATTTCACTTCTTCCCAACAATCTCCATGCGCACCAAGTTCAAGGTTATTTTTTGCTTTTTGAAAACGTGGTTTTTTAGATTAATTTTTTAATCTACTATAATTATTTTATTCTTTTTAAAAAATATTCTTAAAATTTATTTTTTCACAAAAGATTGCATTGTCATCAGTTTCTAGGCTATCCTGAAAGTTTCAGCTTGATAGCTAGTTGGGAAGTGAGTGAAATTTGAGTTTCAAAATTTGATCCAGACAAACAGACAGACAAGAAAGTGAGTTCATAAAAACGTGGTAATAATAATTAGAGCGTTACAGCATATGCCCCGTGATAATCATAAGTGGAAAGTTTAAAATCTGTGGTGAAATCGATGTTGTGTGCGTGGATGAGGTGAAACTTTTTTATTTTAGAAATATATATGCATAAAAGAATTGAATCAATAAAGAAATAATTGAATGAAACTGAAACGAAGCTTTAGAAGCAGGAAATATAGGATGCCGTTGAAAAATTGAAGCTTCATTTCTTCACAACAAATCTGGTTTTTGCACTTGTGTGCTATTTCAAAGCATGAGCAACTTTTCTTTCAGGTGGGGCAAACACAGTAAAGCATCGTCAAAATAGCATTTCAAAAACACAGGGAATAATTTATTCTAAAATCAAAGTTTCAAACTGTTGGATGACATAAACACAAGCCTCACAAAACCTTCAAACAAGCCATATAATTCGACTGATGAAAACTTTTCAACTCACACAATCTCAAATAAAAGATGACCTTTACGTACCGAAATAGAAGCTACAGCACGAGTTGATAAATATTTTTTTTTCATCTATTGCACAATAACTATGGAGTACTGATCAAATGTGGTACAGTGTTTGCTTCTTCCATGCAATAAATGCATGGAATAGCGCGAGTGAAATTATGTAGATCGCGGGTCAGGATCTGAGCTGCAGAAAAAGTGTTTCAGAATCGGATGCTGAAGTTGCGGAAATCTGGTTTCACTATCAACTCCCAGTTCCTGAGTTCACATAGGTCAATGCGGCATCCAGGACTTCCCTGTTTTGACAGCCACATGGATCTGAGAAAACAATAAAAACAAAGCAAAGGCGGAGACAGGCAAAAGCATTTGCCATACTGTATTGCATACTGTTCACTGTATAGAACCAAACTTCACCTTACATTTCGTCCACTTTGTCTCGGTCTCCTTGAAGCTTCCCCACAATGGTTCCACTCCTCGTATTTTTCACCCATCCGTAAATCCCCAGTCGATCGCACTGGTCCTTACAATATTTTGTAAAATAGCAGCCTGAACAAAGTAAACAGTCGTTCAGATAATATTGTTACACAAAGGAAGCTAAACACATTATGCCGAAGAATTTTTGCATCATCAATAAGCTGCTGGGGCTTGAAAACAAAGCCGTCTTTGTGGAGAATTTTGCTAAATATAAACAAAATGGCTATAAATATTATTGCTACTACTCCTTCCAAAAATCCATTGTTCTGACAGAAAAATCTTGGAGAGGATCACTTGCTGCCGGAGCATTTCCAACAGCAGAAGAGCACGAAGAATTAGTGGTTTTAGAGAATTTTAAAATTACTACTGGAGAGAAAAATATATTGTTGAAGAAAATGTCCAATGTTCCAGGCTTTTCCCAATAAATTGGATTAATTTAAGCTCTATGTCTTTTGGGCGATTGAATGATGATCAATGCTGGATGGGACTTTTCTCGATCTACAGTCAGTTCATCATGCTGAATGCTGAAAGTAAGGCATCCTGGGCACAATCGAAAAATCCATCTGCTTCTTTTCTTTAAGACAACAGTACTGTAGATCGTTTCTTTATGCAGCATCATCTTAAGAACGACTGCCGTCGATATTGCTAAAACGGCCCCTAACCTGTAGTACAGTACTGTATATTAATGTTCAGGGAAAGACTGCCGTCGATATTGCTAAAACGGCCCCTAACCTGTAGTACAGTACTGTATATTAATGTTCAGGGAAAATCACTTCAGAAAAGCTCCGCAGTGCCTGATGGTACAACAGCATGCTGTGATGCTGAACTCATCGAACTTTTATTATTCTGACAATGAGCGCAAAAGCGATACTCTTTGTAATTAGTAAGTGGCCAAGATTTCCTAGAATATGATATTGTTGACAGGGTCAGTTCTGAATAAAACAGCAGCTATAGTCAGAGAATTGAATAGGAGCCTGGCAGAGTGTGAAGTACAGTATACAACAACTCATCACCTTGAACATGACCGAAAACCTCAAACTCCACCGAAACTTTGGGAGCAACCGGCCCGTCATCCTCGGGCATGATGGGTACCGCGCAGAATCAAATCCGCCACCTGCTGCGAAAGGTCACGTTCATTTCTGCTTTCATCAACTCGTCAGAAATACGGTAAATCGAAAAAATCGCGGCCCGCACGAGAAAAACGAAACGCCGCACTGAAAACACCACGCTGAAAAGCAGAGGGAACTGAGCAGATCACTGGAACTTTGCGTTGGTAGCATGGGGTTCAATATTACCGCCTCGCTTGGTTTCGGTGCATGGGAACACTATATGATGGCTACCACGGACCCTGGCGGAAGGGGGCCCAGTCTCGAGCGATTTTTTGGCACCTGCGCCCGTCTTCTCTGCCTCTCCTTGCTCCCTGGCTTTCCGTCGCCTGTCCGCATTTCGTTCATCTCCGTCGTAACATTCCTTCATCTACATTTGCTCCACATGAGGCACACTTACCTATGACCTTTCCGACACCACGCGAGAAAAACGGCACCCTGCTGTTAACATTCCACGTTAGAGAAAATCCGTCAGGTGCAGAAAGTGTGGGAGTATCAAGTACACTTTTCTTTGGACAATCACAGCAAGGGGCGTTCCATTCGGGTGGCTTGTTTGTCCAAGTCCTTTAAACCAACAGCCATAGGATCATCTACCACCAAATGACTGGATTCCAAGGTTTGTCACATAATCAATTTGATTTCAGAAAGAGAAAAAATAAGTATGCCCTACAATTCTTACATAAAATTTATTTGAAAAACAAGAAGAAGTATGCATATATACCTCTTCTTTGTGTACACTTTGGGAATTTTGCCTCATTCTTTGGTGACCTTATGTCCCATCAGGAGTATGTACACTACATACAGAGGAGGGTGGATAATTTTTGTATTTCTAGGATGTTAGTGGATCTTCAGCAGTGGCTGCTGTGGATATACCCAGCAAAAAATTTGGGTGTTGGAATCTGGGGCACTGGCAATAGTTAGTTATGCATGTAGTCATTCTCTAGTTTTCAGAAACTCCCTGAAAAACCTCCAACTCCCAAAGCATAGGAGTTAGGATCAAGCTAAATATGAAGTAGGTATCAACCAGTTGACACTCAACTCTGGAAATCATGGAGATGTGCCCATCTACATTCAACTAGTGTTCCAGGTACTTGTTGTCAAATGGTGTGAGCTGTAGTTGTTTGGGTGTTAGCTGCAACTGGCTGTCAGCTAGCAACTTGGGAGCTGCAATTGTTTGGGCCAATGGCATGTGGCGCAGGAGTTTTTCAAGTGTTAGCTGCAGCTGGCTGTTAGGTAGCAGCTTGGGAGCTGCAGGTATTTGGGGCAATTGCATGTGGAGTAGGAGCCAAAAAAATTTATACAAAATTATAACTAACCATAGAATTAAGCAATAAACTAGAATTATTTAGATTTTGTAATCAAGAGACTAATCAATATGCTTCATTGTTTCATATATTACTGACAGTGCAGAAAGTGCACAGTTATTATAGAGAAACATTTATAAAATTTTGCAAAGTTCTAGTTTTTGCTTAAACATTTTTTAATTTTTCAGATTGTGAACAAGAAACATGACAAATTAAAAATGAATCAGTGGCAGAGATTTCCCTTAAGAAAAATTCAGGGATTAACATCCCTCCTCAAACACAAAAGAAAATATGATTTCTTGCCCAAAGAACACTTAAGAAACAGTAATTACATCAGCTAAAATTTTATAGCCTTCAAATTCTTTGACTCTGCCATTCTGCTGCTCATTGGCAGCCCAAGTGTCTTATTGGCTACTCATCAGCAGCCCAAATCAACATTGGCTAGAAACTTTAGCAACATTGGCTATAAATTTTCAACATTGGCTAAAAACTTGAGCAACATTGGCTATAATTTTCAACATTGGCTAAAACTTCAAGATGCAGCTACAATGTGAAAATTCAGAAAAATCTCTATGCCTCTAATCCCTTTTGAAAATTTAAAGTTTGGTGAAGGAGATTTTGTATCAATTTTCAGATTTGAAAAAAACTTGAATTTTGGGAGAATTCATTTACCTCTGTCAATTTGATTTTTTTAAGGTTTAAAAATTGGAAGTGTAGAAAACTTTATGGTGCTTCCAATGCAGTTGAAAATTTTCCGTTTAGGGCATAATTACCTTTTTGGTAAATATTAAAAAAAGAAAAATTGGGAAGAAAAATGGAAACAAGAATTCAAACTATTCAGTTTAGCTCATTCTAAATTTTTGCTTGTGATGAAACTTGAAAATTATTTACAGAGAATCATGCACAGTGATGCTTTACAAATTCAATCTTTTTTCATTGAAAAATGTTGCTAACTGAAGCAGGGAAAATTCAAAAAGTGAAAATGTTTTTGGTGATTTTTGTACAATTTTCAAAAATGTTTTCACATGTTTGGTTGTAATTCTGTCAAATTTTCAGCTTTTAGCATGTTAAAAAAATTAAAATTAGAAAACATCTTGGCACATGCAATGCTGAAAAAAATTTGAAAATTGGTGGAAAATTCACTTTTTGACAAATTTTCAGTCATAAAAACAGACTGCAGTCTGTAAGCAGGTTTATGGTCCTTAAGCCTGTGCAACTCCCCCAAAACAGACCTGGTCCATAAACCAAAAATCCATAACCCAGTATGTCCATAAACTGGGGTATGAATGTAGTGAGTCATAGCATTGTTCATCCTTGATGAGAATTTGAGAAGACTTAGAGGGTTTCAAAAAGTTTCCTAATGCATGCGCAGGAAAGATGTCTATATGTGTAGGCACCAATGGACTCAAGAGCATGAAGTGCAAGGTAGCTCAGCAGGCATGATGCCAGACACCAATGCAGGAGTACAGAGGTTCAAATCCCCCTGCGGCAACATTTCACAGCGCATACATAAAAACACAGCCACTTGCACACACACACAGACACACACACACATACACACACACACACACACACACACACACACACACACATAGTATACTATACCTCTCTCAGCACAAACACACTTCCCTGCACACAATACAAAACACACAGCAAAGCTTATCTCACAAAAACTCTCAGAACAGCTACTCCTTCATGTCAGCAATTCTTATTGAAAATAATTTTGGAAATATTATTGGGAAGCCAATGTATAATTGGCCAATATAATATTTGCCAATTATGTATTGGCTTCCCACACCAGTTGATGTACTATGGTGGGGGCAGTTGATGCTTGCCTCTAGAGGCAAGCGTCAAGTTGATGTACTAGTGGGGGCGGTTGGGAAGCCCATACAAGCATTGGCTTGCCTCTAGTGGCAAGTCAATGCTTCCCGTCTGCCCCCACATTGGCTTGCCTATATGCAAGCACTCACCAGTACATTGACTGGTGGGGGCAGTTGATGCTTGCCTCTAGGGGCAGTCAATGTGTGCCTCTTGAGGCAAGCATCAATTCTATGCCAATTTTGTGTGGTTTATAAACCATATACTCACCCTATATTGGTGTAGTAAGCCAATTTCAAGGGAGGCAGCTGCATCTGCAGAGAATTTAATTTCTCTGGTTAGCTGGCAGGTAATAGGTAAAACTCCTTGCGTGGTTAGCTATTTGTCTAGTTGAAATCAACACCAAAGCAACAGGTGCAGGGAGGGGGGGTCCAGATGCGGATGCTTGGGAGTCCAGTGGGTGCTGCAATAGACTGGTACCCAACTCCTGCAGGAAGCTGCATTTTGTTGCATTGGGAGTTGGGGCCAAAACCTAATGCTGGCAACTAGCCACGCAGCTCCCAATTTTTTTGCTGGGTAGTCATCAAGAATTTATTGCAGTTGATTGCAACATTTGTTCAATTAATGTTTCACTAGCAGCTACTTTATACACACAAGCCCGCCCCCCCCCCCAGTGGGGAAAATGGTGCACACTTGGAATACAATAAGGGTTGTTTCAGGAATAAGGACTTTGACCAACTCTTTCAGGCACACAGTTTACTAATCACAATGAGACACACAGTCAAGGATAAGTCACAGATTGAAGGTACATGATTCTTAGTCAGATTGTCAGAACAGAATGATCACTCTTTGCTCGTCTGCTTGATCCGCTCCCAAGACTCTGCTGATCTTGTCATCAGATAAACTTCTGAGCGTGGGCTCTCAGGACGTTCAGAGAGGTTGCTGGGATTGTCCGCTAGATGTCACTTCAAGACGTAAGTTGACTGGCTTACTATATACACCAGTGGGAAGCTATTCTTTGTTTGACCCTACAACTGATGCACACTGGGGTCAAAACTGGTGGGCCATTCTAGGGTTACAAGCATGCACCTCTGCAGATGACATTTTGTTATCATTCCAGGGCTACATTTGGTGCACAAATGTGAAATGACAGGAGTATCACAAATATGCACCAACTGTGACCTTGGTTTAATTTATTTGTTACAAATGTGACCCAGAGTAATCTTGGTGTGAACACACAATTGGAGAACATTGGGGATATGCATGTGCAGAAGAAGAACTTTCAGGTGCACCACAGGGTCACTGTGGGGAAATACATGCATATCCCAAGTGTGCACCATTTTCCACACTTGGGTATGCATGTATTTAGTAAGTCATCTGCCTCACTCAGAAGAGCAACATCTTGTGAAAAGAGCAGGCAATGGCATCCAGCTCACCCATGCAGGAAAGTGCAGCTTATCACAAGATCTGGAGGAGCATTGGAGGGGGAAGCTGGAGGAGGAGAGGACAATCACTTCACTCTTGACTCTTGACCTGAAGACATCTCTTGTGGTATTTTATCTTCTGACTGATTGTGTATTGTGAAGAGCTGTTGACTAATAGATGTTGTGCTTGTGAAATGTTTACATTGGTGTACCCCTTATTCTACTGCAAACCTTACTGGGGGCTCTGAGCCACTTCTTCTGACCAAGTGAAGGTAGGACACCAGCTCTGTCATAATGACAAGGAATACAGCAAACTCAAGAGTGGCAGCAGCAGCAGCCAAAAAAAAACAGAAGACAACAACAGGAACTTTCACTCCAACAAGGACAAGGATCAGCCCAAGCCAGGGCCTGCCATGGCACAGCTGAGTCCAGGCACTTCCACAACCTCAACCTTGAGTAGAAGACATCACCTC